TTTATCCTTGGCTATTAGTTATAACAATAAAATATACTCTCTAAACTTCCTATTAATTTTCTATATTATTTTAGATTAGTCTACAACTGTTCTTTCAATTAGTTCAGGGGTCACCAAACTACGACCCGCGGGCCAGATCCGGCTTGCGAGGTCAGTTCATCCGACCCGCCGCTGCACTGTGCCACAATGAGCTAAAATATAATTATTTATATAGAAATATCATAGATTGTGGATGAATTTACTATGTAGAAAAACTTAAGTGTAAGTAAAAATGCCAAAATAGGTCCAATCTGATTTTTGCATCTGACAGTAATACAGTATAATTTTTAGGAAAATCAGTAAAATGAAATTTTCGGCTTTTTGCGACCTTGGATATCAGAGCGCGTTTTGTGTAAGTACCTGAAGTTTCTAAGAAAAGCGATTACGAGTTTGCTGCAGCAATCGTGTTTGTGTAGTGGTAAATAAATATGTTGGTTGTCTTTATTTTTTGTGTATTCAGTGTGCTGTATTGAACAAAATGGTTATGAGGCCTGCGTTCGTCATTCTCTCAGTTATCTGGCCCGCTGTGATAAAAGTTTGGTGACCCCCTGAATTAGTTTATAAGAATTTATTTATATTCTCATTTTATGAAGTACAAAGCGCAATTCATTGTAAAATTAATCTGAACATTTATCTTTTTTTACAAAAATTGTTTTATATTTATAAAAAATTTGCTGGTGCCACCAACTGTTCTGTAAAGTCATAAAAACTGTAAAAATTACTGTCATGCTGTACTTTTAAACAGATGGATAGAAGGTTAGTATTATAAATTTTAAATAACAAGTGCTTGTATTTTAATATTTTGTAGTTACCACTTCTAGTGAAGATTTGGGTAACATGCACACAAACGTATGTTTGTACATAAATTAGATTGCCGATATGTATTGGCCTTGATAAAACTTATGCAGCATTTCATTTATTTAGCTAAATATTGCACCCCATTATAATATGTACTGTACTGTATATATGCATATACGCATGTATTTATAAGTATTAATGCAGTATATACTATCCACAAAAAACAGTAAATATTTTTTCCTGTTTTGACAATCTGATAATATAAAACAAGAAAATACAGAAAGCATTATTAAAGTCTCTTATTATATTTTAACTTTATTACCATTGTATTTTAAATTATATTTTTAAACTCAAATAAGATAAAATGAGAATTCGTAACAATCAACGTACCAACCACGACAAGTCGACCATTTTTCCTGTTGTGTCTTGACACCAGGGAGAATTATAATCGCTTAAAGGCATTGTTATGGCGTCATTCGTTTCTGTAATAATTTTAATGAGGATATAAATCAAATATTTTAATAAAAGTGTAAATTGAAATGAATAGTGTTTACTTTAAATAATTTAAAAGAACAATTAGTTTAAAATACAGTGAATTTAATTGAAAGAAGAATGTAGAAGAAAATTGGAATGTCTGAGGCCATACCTTAATTTGGACAGCAGTTGAGAGGAGTTGTAACAAATTAAACATACCGTATGTTTATCGACCATGGGTTCCTCCACATCCATTTACAGTAACTAAAAATAAAAATAAATAAAAAATCAAATTTGTAATTTAATCAAAACTGTCAGTTTATTTTATATCATTCTTAATTATCCAAAAATATTATTCATCTTCAAGAAATTATATTAAATAAATTTACATTTCTTTATTCCTCCATGAAAATTTTGATATTGTTAAGAAAATCTATGTAAACTCTCGATATATATTTGTACAAGGAATATTCTTAATATTCAAACGTATTTTCTGTAGAACTAATCTTTTCACGTACATTTTAAATGCGAAGAAAGCATTCATACATAATTTATCAATATATACTAGTAATTTAAAAAATATATTCTGAACAAGCAATAATAATTCATACAAGGATTGATTGTCATAGGTTCGGTATTTTCCAACATTAGATATTTTCTTTTTCCAAAGAACTCCCGAATATCTTCATTGACCACATAGTTGGTAATGTTTATTACTACGAATTATTATGGTAAATATTAGTAGAGCGTCGATTATCCGAATCAATTGGAGATTGGGGTTGTTCGGAAAAACGATATTTCGGATAACCGATCATGTACGAAAAAATATATTAATTTATCCCATGTTGAAATTTTTCTCCGTTGCGTGTCGCTTCGCGTTGAATTTTCGCCGATGTTAAGCCTAACGAAGACTATTGTATCGTTAAAAATTATTTTTTTTATTTTGTACAAACAAAATAAATATATTGAAAAATATAAAAACAATAAAAAAATATACTTCAGAAGTTAATTTAGTATCAAAAACGTAAAATATTTGAGTAGCCCAAGACATAGCCAAAGATTGCAGNATTTCCAAGTAATTTTAACACGAGAAGTGAACTTTGACGGCTGATGGTCGAGGCGGTTCGGGCGTCAGCCTACTAAAATGGGGGATACGAGGATTACTCGGGAGCAATCAGTCCCGAAAATGTCAGAATCCAACTTTCGCCACTCAGTCGAATCTCCCATGAGTACGGAAAAAAGACTGTCTTAGTGACTGAAGGGTGGACAAATTTTTAAAATCATACTGGCATTATAAAAAATACTCTTTTTAAACTCTTTCCGCCCTGTGAGCACTAAAAGAGCCTCTTTGGCAAGCCCACTATGGGTGGCCGGGTGGTCAGGGACGGGGCCAAACATATCCAGACGAACCACCCCCGGAACGGGGCCAAACATATCCAGAGAATCCGGACGGGTCGAATCCGGGGGTGGTCCGTCCGGATTCGATCCCGGATCACCCAGAACACCTTGACCTCTCGACCCGGCCTATCATAAAGATATTAATAGTTTAATCTTTATAAAGAATAGCGGAAAAATTTGGTATTCGATGTTAGGAAATTTTTATCTGTACAGGAAATCTGCTAAATAAAACATTTAAATCTTATATAATATCTCGTAGCATCATAAAAAAAAGATTTCCTAATTTATTATTGTCGGAGTGTTTTTATTAATATATTTAATATACGTTAAAAATAATAATTTTAGTATATTAATTATAATATAAATATAAAATTTCCAATATATAAATAGTAAATGATTTAGTAAATTATGGCAATGTAAATTTAGGAACGAAAACGCCGGCGCCGACCTCACAAAAAATGGCGGCAGAAGAGGTGGATTTGTTATCGTCTGACTTCGATCCGGAATTAGCACTAAGGTCAACAAATGTCGCGTTGCCTTTCCCCAATGCTAAAACGTTTGATAATTTAGCGCAATACAGAAATTTTGCCATTGGAAAAATAAAATCAAAACCTAAATCGAAAACTGAGCAAATAACGGTAGGAACCTTTCATCCTGTTATTTATTTACCTACATTTTTATGGAAATGAAATTAGTGTGTGTTTGTCTTTTTTTTCCTTAACTTTTGTTTATGACTAAATGTACACGCGGTTACTTCAATTTTACTTTTTGTTTTGTTTTTCTAGGTGGAAAATTATTAATCACGTGTATATAAATGATTTTAGTTTAAAAAAAGTTAATTGATATTTTACAAATAATTCTCGTAGAAACAAATTTAATAGAAAAATATTGTTTTGTATATTTCTATCTTTTTAGTTGTTAAGTTGTAAACAGCAGGACGTATTCTACGAAGTGTCTTGCTTATTTAACATCTGGCGTTTTATAAGAAATCGATCAGCTTTTCAGAAATAGCTGTTGTTACTTATTATACGAAATTTTTTAAATGGGTAATGTAACTTTATATAACAATATGGCCAAAATTACTAATTTAAGGAGCTTGATTTCACAAAATCTTTTTATTTTATGTGAGAAATTTGTGAGATAGTTTTGACAAACTATCTGTTCGTTTCATCTGATTAATATCTTATATTTTTAATAGTGAAGTGATTTAATTAGAAGAAAAAATATTAAACTGAAACAGCCAATAACGAAGAGAATTTAACAAATGTGTTTGTTGATAACGTAAATTTATAGTGTTTAATCATAATTTATCTTTCAATGATTTCGGATATACTGTATAAATAGAAACTGAAAAACAAATAATTCTATAAAGTAATTGTAGGTTACAGAATGTTGCTGGATAATTTAAGCAAATTTATTTAAAAACTTTTAAAACAAAAGTTATTAAAAAGTTTAATTAAGGAGGCTAATATCTACTTGTATATTAGTGATATGCCAATATGTCGGCACTAGAATCAGAGGATTTGAGTATTGGCCAATTATGTGAGTGTGATAAAACCTGTGTAAACCAGATTTGAATCGTACTAAATTAGTTATGTTTTGAACAGCTGTTAGTAGTTTTTTTCATCCTTAAACTATTACAGATAAATATTATACAACTGCATTTGTTTTTATAATAAAATAACTAACATATGTAAAAAAATTTTATTACTAGGTTTAATTCAAAGTGATTCCAAGTAAAGATGGAAATATTCAAATGAAAAATTGATAACTATTTGATTGAAAAAACCCAAGCACAAGTTCTCGGTGTTCCTGAGAACTTGTGCTTGGTATTCAGATGCAATCCTTAGGAGCTTACACAATAAAAAACAAGCCAATTTGAATACCAAGAACTGATGTCTTGTTCTGCGATTTTAAATTCTAATTGCATAATATAGACACAAAGTTATTCTGCAATATGACTTCTTAAGGAATTTTAATTAATCATTTATTCAATTTCTGCAATTATCAACATGTTAATCAGTTTATTCTTGAATACTGATTACTAGTTAATTATTGATTAATCTGTACATTGCAAATTGGTAGAACTGTGTTACTTTATTCTCATTGTTTTCAATATATTACATTCATTGTGTGTTCTTAAGAACTCATTTCTTGGAAACTCATTTCAATTCTTGAAAGTTCTCAATTTTTAAAATTATTTGATTCTGCTCTTTAAAATTAGTCTTCTAACAGATCATCAAGATATATCAAGATGCTTCCAGTAACTTTAGCAGTGCTCCAGACAAGCTAGACATAATTTGTAGAGATAGAGCAAATACGAAGGATATTCAGATCTCAGTCCACTCTGCTTTCTGCATTTGTTACAATTTATGTCAAATGACTGTATTTAACAATTGTAAAGACAATATTAATTAGTATCAAAAAATTGTTTATTTGTGAAATTTCAATTATTTCAATAACTGCTAATTAAGAGAAATTCAAAAACAGCATTGAGTCCTGAATGTAAATTGATTCATAATGCATCAGAAAGGTGGAATAGCACATTTATGATGATAGGAAAGTAAAAAAAGAAATTTACAAAATTTGAAACCCTCAATAAAGAATGTTAACTAATTATTTACTTATTTTGTAAATTTCTAAGACATGTATTTAAATAAAACTAATTTTTGCAAAAATTAAATAATCACTGACTCTAAAATTTATTAACAGTGTTAATGTATTGTTCACTAATTTTGGATTTTATTGAATTAATATTAAATATCACTTAAACCATATTAATTGTACATTTTAAGTGCTTACTTGGCATAAACTTAATAGAATAATCAGTTATACATTGTTCAATATTGTGCATTTTCTAATGTTTTAATTAGCTGTGTTCAGGGGAATAATGTAGAGCTAAGCACTTATATTTATTATCTTTTAACTTTAGTTTGTTATATCTATCTTATTTTACATATAAAATTTATTTTGGTGTTAATAGAGTGTATATAAAACATGTTAATAACGTTTATTCAAAATATGAAATTAATGTTATATGGACTTTAGAAGATACTGAAAAAATCAAGGGTGTATATCACATAGAAATCATATTTTATTGATTAAGATTGTTAAGCTTACTAATTTCTATAGTATATTATGTGTTGTTTAATTTAATTTTGTATTATCATTTTACAATGATCACACATTTTTCAGGTAATACAGGAATGCATGAATGGGGTTTTAAGCAATTTAGGATACATCCTGGAAGAATTAAAGTAAGAAAATAAAATTATAAAATAGGAAATTTATGTAATAATAATAGTTTAAGTTTATTTTTCTGTTAATAAGTTTTTCTAATAAAATTTTAATCTGTTATAAACAGAAAATAATTATTAAAATGTTAAAGTTGATAGAATATATTTTGTATGTTTTGTGCTAATGCACTTTGGACATAACAGGTCCCATTTCAGTCTTAATACATAGATCCTTTTCAGAGTTTGTAGGCATATGCATACAATTCATTAATTTTATAATAAAAACTTCTCAACATATATACATATGTGACAAAAAAAAAATCCACCAAATGAGAACATTTTAAGCAGGACACATAAACTTGAAAAGAAAATTTGTACTATTTGAAACAACATTCATAAAAATTGAATATAGTTTTTATTAAAAATTAAAATATAGTTTTTATATAGGAATTTCTTACAAAATGGGACATTATGATAATTATTTAAAAAATGGCACTTAAATTATTTTCTGATATTTTAAAATTACAAACGTGGTAGATGCATATACAAGGTCTGTTCAAAAAGTATCGGACCTTATTTTTTTCCGCGTAAACCAATGATGCGAGAGAGGCCTCCTTCGGTGGAGTTGTGGAGGGGACAGTCATGCACAGCCCTGAATTTTTTCCCGCCTGCAGAAAGCGTCAGTCGTTGGCAATCGGCGTATGAGTGAGGTCATGTAGTGCGCTCTCGTCGGATTTCACTAAGCTGGAAAATGACTGAACAACGTGAGCAGCGATATTACATCAAATTTTGCCAAAAACCTTGGCGATACCNTAATTTATATGATATATATATCTTATTGACAAAGAGAGATTATAAAGCCAGGGTTTGTTAGGAGAATCTTATACCATCAGCTTCATGTCACTTGACAGTGACGTTTCTATATGTTTTCCTTTCTTTTTATATTAGTGAAAAATATAAGGTTTTTTTCTGTGCAATGTCTGTGGGGGTCCACAAAAGATTAAGAGGAAAAGGGGTCCATGGGTAAAAAAAGGTTGAGAACCAAATAATTTCTCTTAATTTCCATAGTGGAGAGAGAAAAACCTTTTCAAAAATACTATACAAAAATATATGTATAAATTATGTTGTTGTAATCCAACTCGTATCTATAAACCTTTTACCAGTGCACATATCATCACACTCTACAACACTTACAAACGTTTTCGAACCGTTACGGTTCTTCTTCAGGTAACGATCCCCTAATGGAATGCGGTTCAAAGTTGTTACAAAATATGATCCGGAATGATGTTCCGACCCGATGACGTCACTACGAACTTGCGCGTTATGCATCGTGTGCTCTATCTTGGAGATTTATCTATTAGGGCCTGCCAGGCCATTGATAGAATGATTTCATCTTTGTAGTTAATGCAATTATGTCCTTCACTTGTGTTTAGGCATATGTAGATCGCCTCCAGCCATCTGAGTTGGTTCGTGCGGTGGGTGGTGTGAATGACCTTTGCTTGAGAGAATATGGGTTCTATATCAGGGTCCAACGAGTATACGGCAAGAGCTGTGTTGGTTCTTTCATGGTTGATATCCGCTTCATGTTCTTTGATCTGGGTTACTAGGGGGCGTTTAGTTGATCCTATGTAGATCATGTTTCTATCACACCTGTGATCAATGATGGGGATGGTGTAGATGCCGGGGAGCTTATTTCGGTCTGGGGTGTCTTTCCCATTCCTTAACAAATCAAAAATTGTAGCACATCTTCTAAATGTAATATGGATATTCTTTTTCTTATCTATCTCCTTGTATATGGATTTTAGTACTGGATTATATGTGATAGGAATGTTGCTACTAGGAGTAACGTTGGAGGGTTGATGGTTTGCTTTCTGCTGCATTTTTGCGTTCAGTTTATTTATGAGCCCGTGGTATCCGTGCTGCTTGGCTATATCCGCTGTGTTTCATTTTGGACCAGAGTGCCGTTTGGGACGAGGAGTGTGTATGTGCCCTCCTGATGAAGGTTTTGAATGCTGCGATTTTGTATTGTGGAGGGTCACGTGACCCTGCTGGTATGTATAAACCAGCTGAGGTCAGTTTGCGGTAAACCGCTGTGTGGATGGTTGCACTCTCAATCTTAATGTTAATGTCCAGGAAGTGAGCCTCTGTAGGATGTGCCAGGTCTACTTCTATAGTTAAGCCGTATGGGTTGTTATTGATGTCCTTGACTAGTGCATTAATGTTTGGCTCATCTTTCCATAGGATTAGGATATCATCAATGTAGCGCTTGTATATTAGGATGTTGGGGAGATATTTTGGGAGAAATTCCGATTTAAGTTTCCTCACTACTATTTCACACAGGTCTCCTGTGATGGGGCTGCCCATTGGGACTCCTCTTTGTCGTTCATATGTAATTCCTTTGA